GTATATTTGTTTTCTCTGTTTGTGATTCAACATCGATAAGACCTTGCTTATCGACTTTAATAACTGTTTATCATTGACCTCTGATCAAAGCAAGTTACCAACGCCGATAAGGAATAAAAAGTATCCAAGTACAGAATAGAGCTAATTTGATATACTGTTCTTAATTACTTTTTATTTTTTATAGTGATTGCAATGCATTTGCGTTGATTCATTAGCTGGATAATCTCTGTCAGAGATATTTTCACCGTAATCCCAATAATATCTCATGAGGTTCGGCTAGCTTAGGATAGTTAGTTTAGTCCTAAATCCATGTACTAAACTAACAATGCGAAACACACTTCATAATAGAAGAAGAATAACAAATAAAACTGAACAAAGTGTATATTAAGAAGTAAAAAAAATACAAATATTATTTTTGTTAAACAGTTTAACCAATATTGTTAATAAAACTAAAGTTAAAGATACAATGTAATATAAAGTTGATTATAAAACATATAAAACTGGTTGTTTGTTTCATGCAGTATTACCGATTCCACAATCCCTTGAAAAGCATGTCACTAGTATACACAACACTTAACACCCCTTAAGACCAATAAAGGCCCATCAAAAGGCTCAGACAGTGTAACTGTAGAGTAGCTTAACATCTGAGATAACTTACTACGACGCCTGTTACTGTCTATAACGCCTGACAGCTGAACAACAACAGAAAACTAATGTTTATGGAGATAAAATATAATAACTAATAGTAAATAACAAATTAGACAGATGTAATTTACTTAACTTAACATAAAAATACCAAAATAGCTTATTCTGTATGCATCTTTCAGCTTAAGTAATTGGTGTCGTTAATTATGTGCGACACGAATATTAAACTCGTTGTTTCTTGTTGTTTTAAGAAATAATTTCTTGCTTTAGAAATGAATAAAACGTTAATCTTAGCTCTCTTTTAACTTGGATAAAATATAAACCGTTATTTGACAAATGCCTGTATGTGTATACGTGTATTAAACAATAATTGGCGAACCGCTAGATTGATTGTCACCAACTTTCGAGTGGATAATCGTTATACCCATAGGAGTGATCTGTGCCAAGTTTGGTCTCGATGGGTGCAAGTTTCAGTTTTCCGAGATCAGCGTTCGGATGTGGTCCTCCACGTCACTTCTCTGGTGGCCACTGTCTGTCTGCCTGTCCGCCAAACACACACTCGAGTGGTAGGAATTTAGGTTGTTTTAAAACCAGGGATGTTCAGAGATGAAGTGACCCCTCTTCGCCCCTCTCTTAGTAATGGTATATTACAAACACTTTATGAAAAGGAACAACACATGAAATGAGAAACTTAACACTAATCTCAACCAAAAGTACCCTTGTCTCCCACTTCCAGAAGTTATATAGGTCGGTTGGCATACGGACCTGACCTCTATGTCACACCCCGGGTGTGACCATCTATGTCACACCTGGGGTCCCTATGTCTTCCCCTTGAACTGGTACTTCAACTATTTTTTTTTTTTATCTGAAAAGGTTTTTCGTTGCATAAAACTTGAAAATAGCTTTGATATACGGAAACATCTGTTAGCTGAGTTCTTGCACAGATCTTAAAATATAACGTTGGTAAATGGGAACATCGGCACATGTAGATACGTAGATCGTGAAAGTCGAGTTGTTCAAAACTTGAAAATAGCGTTAATAACTGGACCAATTGTTGGTTGAGATGTTGCAAAAGAAATATCTGTGATGCATATGTGGCGCATCTGGTGGCAAGTTGTGGAACTATGACGTCATAATCTTTGATGACATACGTATTCAAATGAGAATGATTTCCACATTGAACGTATTGAAATGAGAATTTTTTACACATTGAACGTATTGAAATGAGAATTTTTTACACATTGAACGTATTGAAATGAGAATTTTTTACACATTGAACGTATTGAAATGAGACTTTTTTTCACGGTAAACGTATTAAAATGAGAATGTTTTCCACATTGAACGTATTGAAATGAGAATTTTTTACCACATTGAACGTATTGAAATGAGACTTTTTTCCACGGTGAAACGTATTAAAATGAGAATGTTTTCCACATTGAACGTATTGAAATGAGAATTTTTTTCACGGCACACGTATTGAAATGAGAATATTTTCCACATTGAACATATTGAAATGACTCCAGTAATATTGAAGGGTATCTATCAACAACACTGTAAGATACTCTAGAAAAATTCATTCAATATGTTACGTTACGTAAGACGCCGCTATATGACAATCTTAAGTTTGTTATACATATTTTATTTTCTACTTCCTATTGACTTACAGTTTGTTCAGGTACAAACACATTCTTTGTTGTACGGTAAAATTCAATAACTTTATACAAAGAATTTTTTTCTATTTCTGTAGCTTTTGTCCCCCTATGGGACAGCGATAAGTCTACGGACTTACAACGCTAAAATCCGGGGGTTGTTTCCCCCGGATTTGCTTTAAAAACACATACACACTGTAGTTTTAAAGACATTATAATACCAATTCAAATATCATGATTAGAATAAGATATTTTAATATTTTTCTTTAAAAATAAACAACCCGTATTATTTATAATGTCAGTAACTTTCCGGCCTAACGTGGCCTGGTGGTTAGCGTGCAGGACTGTAGATGTGTGGCTCCATCACTTGCATTCTGTTAACGTAAATGTGTTATAAGGGTGATGGTCAAATTCCATTTATTAGTCAGACAAGAGTAGCCTAAGAGTTGGAAGGATGTACTGTAACTAGCTGCCGTCCCTCTAATTGCCCACAGTGGCTCAGCAGTAAATCTGAAGGCTTATAATGCTAAAAATCGGGTTCCGATACCTGTAGTGGGCAGAGCACAGAGAGTCCACTATGTAGCTTTGTGCTTAACCACAATCAAACCTTCTAATTTATTCGTTCCACATTAGGGACGGCTAGTTCAGATAGCTTTTGGATAGCTTTGGGCGAATATATCCGAAAACAAACTAACGAATACAAGTATATTTCCACTATATTCTTATGTTTGTTGTGCTCAGTGATACAGCTCTAACTTTTCCAAACAACGTATACTAAAAGCCCTCTGTTGAAATTAAAACAACAACAAAAAACGCATAAAACAACCAACAACAATGTGTTTCATACGTTTCGTTAAGATAAAACAAACTAACAAATACAAGTATATTTCCACTATATTCTAATGTTTGTTGTGCTCAATGATACAGCTCTAACTTTTCCAAACAACGTATACTAAAAGCCCTCTGTTGAAATTAAAACAAAAAACGCATAAAACAACCAACAACAATGTGTTTCATACGTTTCGTTAAGATAAAACAAACACAATCAACAACGATGTGCTTCATACGTTTCGTCAAGATAAAACAAACACAATCAACAACGATGTGCTTCATACGTTTCGTCAAGATAAAACAAACACAAACATGTAGGACAAAGTTTTCGAATTTAAATGCCAACTGAGTAATACAGAATTGCTTATAAGAATAAAACGTAGATCAGACGGTAAATAAACCAAACATCTGTTTCACAGTTGTTAAGCTAATCCAGTAGTGTACTATTAACTTAATAAACGAATGCGATTGACTGATATCGTGCAGCTTTTACAGTGAAACTAGATGTAATTGTTTTACAGCAGAGAAGACATCATTCAGATTATTTTAAGTTATCTCTACAGCCTACTAAAATACGCTTTAATACTGGTATTAAATTTGGTTGCCTTACGGTCTTCCACTTTTTTAAGACTTTGTAATTTTTGTGTCGCACATAACGCTTGTAATACGTTAAAATACTGAAAACAACGACAACAAAACAAAACGTATGAATTGTCAATAACCAACCTAACTGAATTCTGCTATTTATTTTGTACAGAATTAACTAGACGCCGTTAAAAATAAAAAAAAAATAAAACTACAGGAAAGAAAAATAACAGTCGCTTACGTACAGCTAACAACACATCTCCTCTTCTTAACCGGCCGTCTCGATAAGCGGAGCTGTCACGGTGTACTTCCGTTACACAAACAGCCTCCTAGTGAGAATAATAAAATAAATATATTCTATTTTTTATTGCTTTCTGCTTCTGTATGCAGTAGCGTAGTTAAGCAACGTTAAAAACACGAGAACTCTCAGTCACCGAATTGTTACAATTGATTTGTAAATAATACAATAATTCTATTGTTTAATTTAATATTGTTAGAAGTATATCCAAGGCATCACCTTCAAATATTGAATATTATTTTTAAAAATTGTGTAACAGAAGAAAAGTTATTTTAATGTTTTTACGCGTATTATAACCTCATTGATTCGTAGTCATAGTGATCATCTGGTAATGTGCTATTGTGTTCATATTTAACACGTAACCAAGCTGCTTTTGTGTTATTGTCTACATAGTTAAAGCTTCATCATGCTGGGTATTGTATTATTATGTACGCAGTTAAAATACCATTACATTTACACTGTGTTATTTGCGTACATAGCTGAAACAGTATCAAGTTGATACTGCACAAATGAGTGAACAGTAAAGACTTTGTCACACTTGTTATGGTGTTATTATGTACAAATTGAAGACATCGTCACACTGGTATGGTGTTGTATAATTATCAAGAAGTCACCACGATGGAAATGTATTTTCGTATTTGTGAGTAAAATGACTTTTAAATTGATTTAAATTGCTGCGATATACAGGCTGGCAATTATAATTTTCGGACGTGCAATTTAAACAAATTAAGCAAAATAAAAAGTTATATCATATTGTATCATACAATAGCTTCTAAACTATAAATATTTTAATCTATATTAAAGTGTAAATTATGAATAAAAGAAATGGATAGAAATGGGACAGAATGTACGCTTGATAATACATTAACTTTGTTAACGAAATAGAGATTAAACATCTTGTGGATTAAAGTATTAAAAACTTGTACATCTTTTACGATCAAAAGAAGTTGAATGGTAGCGTTTTAGAAAGGCGGGAAGCACGTGACCTTCTGATTTCTTAAAGCAGTAGGGATATTGTGGACTGTATGTATATTGTTATGTATTTTATATATTGAAACACAGGGAGTCACTTGAGTTAGACGATGACTCCAATGCGGGAAATTTCCTTGGGTTACTGAAACTACTGGCCATCTTTGACCTTGTCATGAAAGAACACCTCACTAGTGTGGAAAGTCATCCTGGATACACGTCTTATCTTTCACCGGATGTCCAGAACGAATTCATCCACATGATGGCATCCAGTGTTCACCAGAGTTTACTGAGAAGCATTCGTAAAGCCAAGTACTATGGTCTCATGTTCGACTCGACTCCTAATCAGGCACACCGTAAGCAGATGTCAGAAGTAGTGAGGTACGTGGAAGCTGATTTTGAGAGGAAAACAGTCCATGTTAGAGAGTCCTTCCTTGGTTTTATCCAGATAAGACAGAAGGATGCTGAGAGCTTGTTTGAAGACATCTTGAAACAGCTAGAGAAGGACGAAATGGAGCTACAAGATTGTCGTTCACAGTGCTATGACAACGCTGCTGTGATGGCTGGACACAGAAGTGGTGTTCATCAAAGAATAAGTGAGAAAAACAACCTGGCAGTGTTTGTTAATTGCGACAATCACTCACTCAACTTGGTGGGTGTACATGCAATCAAGCAGGATACAATGATGGTCACGTTTTTTGGAATCATCGAAGCTCTCTATGTGTTCTTCTCGCGTTCAATACAGCGCTGGGAAAAACTCAAAAACGCCGTGCCTCTGATTGTTAAAGTCGCAGTCCAAAACCGGGTGGAGTGCAAGGACAGAAGCAGTGAAGTCCGTCAACAAGTACCTTCTCTAGGACATAATAGACAATGAAAATGAGACCAATGAAACAAGAAGTGACGCAAGGCAGCTGTATAACCGCATGTTGAGTTATGGTTTTCTGACTTTGCTAGGATTTTGGAACAAAGTACTCATTCGCATTGACCGTATTCAAAAGAGGCTGCAGGATCCCAGCATGAACTTCCACGATGCTGCCCTGGATTTGAAAGCTCTCCGAGATCATTTTGATGATGAAAGAGAAGTGTTGGTCAGTGAGTCACTCGGAGATGGACTCGGTCTCTGTCAATAATGGAATATTGAAGTTGAAAATCGTCAGAGACGAAAGAAACGAATAGCTAATGAGAACTCGAGAGACGCTGGGTTAACAGCCAAGGAGGAAATGGAAAAGA